TCCATTGCTGCAACAAAACTCTCGGAAAGACTGAGTCACAGAGGCCGGAAACCCATGAATGCTTCTCCACTTCTCAAAGCGCGAAAGTGAATCAGCAAGGTACTTGGTTTTAGACGGAAAGAATGTGGAATTGGCGCTGCCTTGTCCCAAATACCACAAGTCTTCATGCAGTTGACCAAGCATTTCAATACCAGCAGCCAGGTGTCCATCAACTAGACACTCATCAGGAAGATTCAGACTCGAGCACTTGCAAGTAAGGCACGCTTCACCTTCACTGAGCAATAGTTTGTTCCAAGAATGCACATTGTGCAGAAGGTCCTTGCATGACTGTAACGAAGCTTCGCGAACTCGTGAGCTGGGAAGATGAAGAGGAACGAGCAATTTACGAAAGCGAAGTACCAAGGATTTGAGCCACGTGTCCACAGAGGAGGCAAAGGAGCGATGTGAAAGATAAGGAAGAGACAGGCTTGTGTGATGTTGATCCGGCCAAGTCATTTTCCGATACTGAATTACTCCTCGTAGGAGTCGCCTAACTCTGGTTTGCAATGGCTCTTCCAGGCACAGGCTCAATCGAACAATGGCATACAATTGGTCATCCACCATTTTCTGACTTCGAAGGAGCTTAACTGCCTCAAAACTAGCCCGAGTGAAACTAGACAGATCATACAGAAGTTCCCAAGCTTGGCGTCGTTGCACCACACACTCGAACGGCTGGACACTGTGAAAGAGTCTCTTACGCAGCTTCCTCCAGAATCGAATACCAAATTTCGAAAAAGAAGTAAAACGTTGCCGGCGAGCAGGTCGAAATCCTAATGCAGTGCGATTTAAGAAGATCTGAACAAAAGGAAAGTTGAGCTTCGGTTGCCACTGTGAAATCAGCTCATGCTCCAATGTCCAGGCAGCTCGGTAACTACTACAAGATGCAATCTTGATCAATGTAAACTGACGAAAACAAGAGTTCTGATGCCAAAATCGAATGGCCAATTCAGCCTGAACCTCATGGCCCTGCTCCAGCTTACGCAGAACAGACATACGGTTGGCCTCGCGCAACGTCACTGAGACGCCTGTAGAGCCAATATACATCAGAGTGTTGGGCTGGCGATAATGTCCAATACCAGATCCAGATCGCCAATCCGCAGCCACTTTGATATGTACTGCAAAAGGATCCACAGATTGTGTCCAAGAGTACTGTAATGGAGCCAGTCCCATGCTCTGTAGTTTGCATCGAAGATTGTAGCCCCAAGACCCAAGAACACACTCGCGAATCTTGGAAATGAAACAGCAAAACAATGTGAAGCAGGCCCTGGGCCCAATTTGATATCAGCTTTCGGAAGATGCAAGCACTCATGTTTGAAAAAAGGTTAGCGCTTGACCTAGCTGACAAATGTCATGCAGCAAATGCGGTGCGTACGACCGCATGCGATGGATCTGTGGACTCTGCTTTGACTGCGAGTCAAGCAGCCTGGTACTTAGCCATTGCGATACACTTGCTGAGACTTGTGATATTCAGGCGTGTTGCAAGCTTGCGATCGAGGCCGTATTTGATGGCAGCTTCCACCACCTCTTTCTTGTCCGACTGCTCAGTCAACAGCTTGACAACAAAGTTCACATGCTTATTCAACTCACGAAACTTGCCTTTGCACTGCAGCTTGAACGCTTGCATCCACTCTTCGACATGCTCATCCTTGACACTCTTCGGACGATTGTCTTTGAGCGATGTGACCGGCCGGCCACTCAGGAGCTTCTTAATCTGATGCATCGGTTCTTCCTCATCTTCTGTCTTGCGCTTCTTACCACGCTTCAAATCAACTGGAAGTCCTTTGTCTACACCTGCAGACTTGGGACTGCTCTCAGTTTGCTCAGCTTCGGACTCGGCAGGCTTACGTGGAGTCAATGCAAGACCGGCTGGCGCAAGCTTCGCTTTGGCTCGAATCAACTCTTCCGCATCAGCAGACGAAGCAGATTCAGACTTCGGAACACGAATCTCTTTCATCAGAATCTCAATCATTGGCTGCATGAAAGCAGCAGCTTGCTTGTGCTTGTCCGGAGGAGAAAGGTTATGCTCTTTGATGCATTGCCACTGCAATGTCCACAGCATCAACGTCAACCTTTGACTCACGAATGCTCGTAAGCAACTGCGTCACCAGAACACTCTCTGCTGAATTGCGCGTCCACACTATTGACTGAAATCGGCCTTCCGAAAGCATACGTAGCGAGAACTCACTGAGTCCTCTGAAGCAGAGCTCGTGCACCCTGAGATCTTCCACTGGCCTACCAGCCAACTGTGCTTTGCGAGACCAATCCGTTGATTGAATGATTCGATGGAACTGGTGGTTGCCTGAACCTACCGCAGTAGAATCGAAAAACTTGCTGTCACTCTTGAAATTCGAAGGAATCGTTGGTTGAGGAGCAGCTACGACAGGCTCCTTCGGAGTCGCAGACTGAGAATCACCATTTGTTCGAGGACCAATCTTGCTTCGAACGGCTCCAGTCACTATTGCCGTGATATCCCGAACTGTTCGACCACTGATGAGAACCGGAGCTCCACATGGCGTTGCACAAAGGAATGCTAATCGGCTGTGCAAGCTTCGCTTTGGCTCGACTCAACTTTTCAGCATCGGTAGCAAAGCATTCAAACCAAGAACAAACTCAAAACATTCAAACCAAGACTTCCTCAGCTCGAGACGATGAAAGACACGTATTTAGAATCCGACTGTAGCTCACTCAAGTATCAGACTGGATTAAAATCTTTCTGACTGAATCATTGTTCCGATCAGGGAACATCGGCTGGTCATTGGCATGACCGTCATCCGGGCTACCCCGGAGCAGACAGCGCGCTGCACGAAGCTGTCAGGAGCACGCATGTGCAGGTCTCCACGCTGAGCTTCGATAACATTGTGCCTGACTACATGCCTGACTACTCCAAAGCAATCTGTCAAAAACTCTCTGCAGGTACGTGGATTGAGCGTCCCCAATCCATATCACGACAAACTGGAAAGGTCTTCGTTGGGCAGTGCCTTCCAGAATGTCCACTGCCCCCCTGCGTTGTGCTACCTACTTCAGAATCCTTGGTCACAGGAGTTACACACACACACACAAACACACACAGACAAACACACACACACACAGACACACACACACACACGCCAACCAACACCAACACACACACACACAGACACACACACACACACACACACACACACACACACACACACACACACACGCCAACCAACACCAACACACACACACACACACACACACTGCCTGGCGGGCAGGTCATCTCTGAATCACCACTGAGCCGCCGAGGGGGCGAGCCAGTTCCTTTTTAGGCCGTGGGGTTCACGGGTTTCAGGGCGCAGGCTGTCTATGTGGGAGTTTTACGGTGCAAAGTCACTTGCATCAAGGATGGTTGATTTCATCAGTTGGTTTGAATGTTCGCCCACCCCGTACTGCACGCTGGGACTTTCATGCGCACAGCCCGCCTCCCCCTCGCATCGCACGTGCTATGCTGAGGGTTCGTGGGGATTTGCTGCATGAGTTGGCATTGCGCCGATGGCATCTGAATTGTGGATTTCCACTTCCGTGGGATGACAAGCTGAAGGCTTTGCGCCACTGATGCTGGAAAGCATACCCGGAAAGAACGCGCTCGGGCGCGGGAGGGCAGGGCTTCAGGGCAGTCAGGTGTTGGGGCTGAGGGTTTACGGATCCGATTATTTAGGTTCTATATCAGGGTCCTCTCCGTGAAACTTCCAAGTAAGGAAGCAACGTCCTTTGCGCTAAGTCAAGCCTACAGCGTGCATGCTACACGCCGCATATCATACATTGCATCGCAGAACCTGCAGACCCTAAGCCGCAAACACCCTAAAGAGACCAAGATCCTCAAGAAACCACAGGCCCTTCCGGATCTTCAGGAGACGGGCAGACCGCACTTGCGCGTCGAGGTGTGCAGTTTGGGCATTTACAAAAACTCAGGTCGTGGGCTTAAGGTTCAAATTATCTGCAGTCGTGGCTTTGGCTGAAGGATGTACATCCGTCTGAGCATTCTGATTTAGCGGCCTCGGCTTTTGTTGAAGGATTTATGGTGAGGATAGGGTTTGAGGCTGCCGATTAGGGTGCCCCAACTGAAGCTCATAACCCACACAAAATTTCACCAACGGCCAACTGATAGGGTTTAGGGTAGGGGTAGATACTACAAACAGAGACGGAACGATGCCTGGCACTGGGTGTCAACTGTATCACATGATCAGCTATCAGTATACACGTCGCTGTGGCTCGCGCCGTCATCAAGCTGGAGCGCCAGCGTCGTTGGGCTGCCTGTTCACACATTAGCTTTGGATGGGCCGACCGACAACTGTCGAGAATGAAACAATACTGGAGCCTTCAGGGGGGCCCACTATGGTATAATCGTAGAGTCGTAGAGTAAGGAGTATAAGGTGAAACAAGTCTACTAAATATGCTGGCCCCTACATTTTTAACTAGACCACATCCTGAAGCTGAATCCACCTAGGGTTTGAAGTGCCTATGCCTGCATGCCAATGGGCCAAGACAAGCTGGAAATCCTGTTCCACTGCACCTGTTGAAGCCACCGAAGAGCCCCTCAGCTAGCAAACAGTTATGTAAACATAGTATCAACAATAACTAATACTAGTGACAATGGTAAGAATAGTACTACTAGCGATATTCGCAATAATAACAATAAGAATAAGAACAAGATCAACGAGAATAACAACAGCACAATACCACAATAATGCAACAGCACAAGAACACGAATAACAATAACAAAACCAATCACGCTATAAATAACAACGAGTAATGGTAACAGTGATTGTAATATTAACAAAAGTAACAATAACAGGAACATCGATAATATGGGTAGTAGGTAATACTATCATAGTGATAATATGAACAGGAATACATAATCATATTCACAATCTGTCAGAATACTGATCATAATCATCATAACAACAATCTTAAGCTCTAAACCCTTGAACCTGTCAACCCTAGACTGCCCTGAAGCTTTCGAATCCGAGGCTGGTGCTGGCGAGGAGGTCCGCGTGCCTGGTCAAGCACAATTCGAAGCGGTTGGGGATGTTCCACACAAGCAACGCTGCGTTCATACATTGGTTTGGGGCTTGGGGTTTGGGGCTGCCATGTCATAGCAGGACCTAAATTGGCTTCGGCCATCCGAACTGGGCCGAAGCTTTTGTGGCATAGCGCGCAGCCAGAGCTAAACCGGGCTGACGTGTTTCGATATTCGCAAGCAAAACCTAAAGCCAAAAGCGTAATCCCAAGAGCCCTAAACTTTAAACCTTGATTATATTTTAACACCAAAACTCAAAATCCAAAAGACGAAACCTGAAACACTAAACAATAAACTCCTAATCCCCACACCCTAACCCCGAAAGACGAAACTGTTGTTGTATTCGTCTTAGGATTGTCAGTAAGAGTTTTACTTTATTCTTCTTATTATGGATTTCCACCTTCTTAAACCGGGGGTCAAAGGCGCCTGCCCGGGCTGAAGCAAGTGGCCTCTGACACATCGTCGAAGGCCAGGTCCTTTTCCGGAAATAGTAATTAATAGTAATGGTACTATAGTAATGTAGTAGTATATAGTAATATAGTAGTACTGATAATAGGAGTCTGAAAGTAATAAAGGCTGGTAAGGGCTTCAAAGCTTTGAGACGGTTCGGGGATCTAAGGATTTAGGTCTTAGGGCAGGCTCTTTCAAGCTTGAATGTGTAGTAGGCGTTCGGCCATCGAACACCTAAAAGAAGCGTTGACAGGACGGATCCGCCGTTTCGTCGCGGACTGTGCCGTTATCCTCGGAATCCTCAGCATCAACTAGCTGTCTCGGCCTCAGCGACATCGTCATCGCCATCATCATCATCATCATCATCATCGTCTGTGTCTCTTGTGATGGTGCCGATGATGCTGATCATGATGGTGATGATGAGGCGGAGGGGAAAGAGGAGGAGGAAGTGAACAGGAGGAGGAGGAGGAGGAGGAGGAGGAGGAGGAGGAGGAGGAGGAGGTCGAGGAAAAGGACGACGGCATTTTGTGGAGCCTCAACTAATCTTCTTCTGTTGTACACAGAGAACCGTCAAAGTGAAGCATGCCCGCTGTTAGAAGTCTAAACAATGCCGGAGCCTTACCCTTCGACGGCACTGGACCATGACCCCCACTGTCCTAAAAGTCTTAGAACTTGCAATAGACCCAATACTCAGCCAAGATCACGGCTGAGCTATGCACTTGCGTGTTGATGGCGGCTGGCACTCGCCCTGACGCAGCAGAAGAGCAACAGAAGACAGAAGCACCCTTTCAACCCCTGAAAGAAATTTGGGGCTGAAGAACGAATAAGTAGTATGCACGCTTGAGTTCAGTTTGGGGTGTGCCGTGAAGATCCAAAAGCCTGAAACTGAAATTTGGAACTAACTTGGAAGCTGTGACATCCCTGACACCCTCCAAACCCCCAATAAGGGGCTTAAGAATTGGTTGGGCTATTTTGCTCAGTTGTAGTATGAAATAGAGACCATGTGGGGATATAATTACAAATGAATATACATTGAACCCTAAACCCAGTGGGCCCATGAAGTATTTCCTACACGACCCGCGGAAGGAATATGGACTGATCCACCTTCTCTCTCTCTCTCTCTCTCTCTCTCTTTCTCTCTCTCGCTCGCTCTCCAGACGGACAATGTGGGTCTGGATTCATGGCTTGAGATGCAGCTGTTCGATTTAACACCCTAAATCTTAAACACTAACCCCAAACCACAAACCTTAAATTTTGGAAGGCTTGCGCCTAAGTGCGCCAGCGCAGGTTGTTGTTTAACGAGCAGAAGGAAAGCTCGATTGAAGACAAGCAACCGGCAGCCACAATTCAGTTTAAGCAAATTTAATTGGGAATTTTTACTTCTCCTATATACAATAGAGCTCAAGGTAACGTAAACGGAAACAAACAAACCAACCAACATATTGAAGAAAATCCAAGCAATAAGCCCGAACAGAGGCTTAAGTAAATTGAACGCACTGAAGCAGGGTCAGGGCAGGGCAGCGGGAGCAAGCACAGCAGGGCAGGGCGCAGGGCACAGAACGCAAGGGGCAAGGGGAAGGGGCAGGGGGCAGGGGGCAAGGGGCAGGGCAGGGGGCAAAGTTTCGGGGGTGGTTTTGCGCTAGGAAACAGAAATTGCTTCAAATTGCTAGAAAGCGGAATTGGTCGGGGCCCCAGCACTGCGCTGGCGAACCCAAAGCCTGAAACCCTAAACCCTACATACCAAGACCTTTAGGCTTTGGGATTCGGTTCAGGGTTTGGGCGTGGGCTCAGCTCGCTGGTGGAAATATGTCGGGTCGCAGCTGAAAGCCATGGTGCACGAGTCTCCTGCAAACGGGCACCAGTGATGGGAGGCCAAGAGGGGGGTTTAAGATTCTTGGGGTAGGGATTCCTTGACATGAACCCTATTATGGGAACCCTAATCCCTACTAAACCCCCATAGGCTAAAACCCCTTTTGGCCTCCTATGAACCAGGTTCAGGGTTTTGGGTTCTGGGTTATAGGGGTTAGGACATAGAGAAAGGAGTCTCGGTTTCGGGCTTGCGGTTTAGAGGGCTTGGGGTATACTGCAATCGCCCGAAGGTGTGCCCTCCCAGGAGTTTCTGATGTGGGGGCCTGAATGATTAGAACAGGATTTTGGGGGTTCCTTATTACAACTGTAGTACAATATACCACCGAACCCTATTCTTATTCCTAAGCCGCCTATATTACCCCATTTGGCTCGTCTCGCCTTCGTCCGTCCTTGATACGGCCACGCCGGCTGCTCGCCTCCGCCTGAGCTCTGACTCCAGGTGGCCAAGCAGGGTTTAGGGGTTTGTGAGGGTTTTGGGGGCTTCGGGAGCTTCGCAAAACTTTGCTGAAACCCTAAACCCTAAACCCTAAACCCCAAAGTCCCAAAGCATTCGAGTCCGATGGCCTTGAACAGAAACTAGGGGCCCCCGAAATCTAACTGGGCTTCTTGGGCTTCGGGTTACGTCGTAGGTTCGCGGTTTGAGATTGTAGGCCTTTGGGGCTTTAGGGCTTCATGCTTAATGCTGAGGGCTTCCGGGCTTCTCGTGCCGTGGCTCAGCGATACTGAACCCTTACATAAACCATGGAAAGGCATTCTGCCTGCAGATCATGACTCGAACCCATGGCAAATATCGGGTGCCTTCTTGTTGCGCTTGCATTTGTCCACCGTCTCCCCAAAGCCTTTAACCAGTCACCCCTCCCCCTTCACCCCAAATCCTATTAATTCTAAGACTCCGCCAGGCGCCTTCTCAAAAAAAATTGACTAAAGAACCCCCCCCCCGTACACACGCACGCACACACACACACACACACACACGCACACACACACACACACACACACACACACACACACACACACACACACACACACACACACACACACACACACACACACACACACACACACACACACACACACACACACACACACACACACACACACACACACACACACACACACACACACACACACACACACACACACACACACACACACACACACACACACACACACACACACACACACACACACACACACACACACACACACACACACACACACACACACACACACACACACACACACACACACACACACACACACACACACACACACACACACACACACACACACACACACACACACACACACACACACACACACACACACACACACACACACACACACACACACACACACACACACACACACACACACACACACACACACACACACACACACACACACACCCACGCACACACACACACACACACACACATACACACACACACACACACACACGTAGGAACCCCACCAAACCCTAAACCCCAAACCCAGAAACCGAGGTCCCCACAGCTCTTGGATGTGCTTCATCGAGGCAGCCTGGCAGGATCCCAGAAGAGTAGCTCCAGGGTTTCGGGTTTAGGGCTTTAGGGTTTTTAGGGCTTTAGGGCTTTAGGTTTTAGGGTTTTAGGGTCTTGGGTATTTAGGGTTTTAGAGTTTTAGGGTTCTAGGGTTTTAGGGTCTAGGGTTTTAGGTTAATTCGAATACGGGTACTGGAACAATTGACAGCTTATACATATTGAACCCAAAGAAGCGGTATTGTCTTGTTACATCCGGTATGAGCTCACCGCGGATGCTCTTTTGAGAAGCCCTAAACCCGAAACCCTAAACCCTAAACCCCAAACCCTAAACCCCGAACCTTAAACCCTAAGCCGACACAGCCAGGAGCGCTGATCTAACCCCCAAAAAGCCTGAAGACTGAACCCTAACCCTAACCCCACAGCCCTAAACGATAGCCCCAAACCCTATTCTAACTATCAAGGCCCCTATACCATAGAACCCTTCTATAGTAGACCCGTTATAGGCCCCCTTTGAGCAACCGTAAGCCCAGCTCAAACGGGAACTTTTGAGGGAACCCGGGCTCCGGAAGCAGCCCCAAACGCGCCCCGCAAAGCCCCCGGGGATGATCTGCCAAATGCTTCTTATACAGTACCCGATTATAGATCCCTTACAGTAACCTTTCACCCCCTTTAAAGGAACCCTAAAACTCTCTTTTTCAACAACCGGGCCCCAAAAAGTTCAAGCTTTCTAAGATGGAGCTATTATATCAGGCTAAACCGTTTTAGGTCCCCCCGTTCACTATCTAAGACGAAGGGCTATGAGTCGGGATTTTTGCGTTGATCACAAGTGTCATGACCATACTCTCTTCGACCAAGGGCTACGAACCCTAAATCTTTGAGGTTTAGGGGCTCAGGGTTCAAGGGTTCAAGGGTTGAGTGCCTAGGGCTCCTTTAGATGTTTAGGCTTAGGGCTCGAAACTCCTAACCTGCACTACTGTACCCCCCCTTAGAACCATAATAAAAGTAATATTTTGAAATTCTCTTGAGTTTTATACGAACTAGGAGACTATAGACTTTACTATAAACTGTTACGGCACTTGGAATCTGGAAGCAGTATTTGTAACAACCGATGCAGACAGCTGCTGAAGTTGTTGCAGCGATAAAGATCTGAAACATCATTCGTCAATCTGAAAAGACGTGATCACTAGCACAAGTGCAAGCATAAAGCGAACAATGTCCATGCATGGACATGGCTCAACAACTCAGCATCCCATACCTTGCCGGTCCGCTCGATTTAAATGGGTGGTTGTCAAAATTAAGGTCCCTTTTTGGGTACCCTAAATATGAGGTGCCGTATTATAATAGGACCCAAAAAGGAACCCTAATATTGACAACCACCCATATAAATTTGCAGGCGAAAAAGGCCAGGATGACCGCAGTTTGGTCGAGGTAGTCCGTGGCACGCCTCGTAGAGACGGTGTACGCCAGCGCATACTATAGGGGCCTTAATAATTAGAATAGGGTTTCGGGGCCCATTATACCATAATCATAATAAGGAACCCTCAAATTAGTAAAATACTAGTACTGGTAATTATGAAGGCCGCTATAGTACACAAGATCGATGTTCGTTTAAGGTTTATACGCCGAGGCTTAGAGCTTGGGTTTGGAAGTGGTATGGAGTACACCTTGGGTGTAATCTGCGGTGCCGTGGCGGAGGTTTTGGTAGACACAGTCATAAGCATGCTTGCAGCAAAAGCTGTGATACCCTCAATGAGAATGAGTACCACATGCTTTGAGTGAAGATGTTGGCATGTTGGTGAGTGCTGTTGGTGTTGGCTCTGAGTTGTTGAGCATGGCGGGCATGACGCTGAAAGTGCCGGTGCTGATGTTGAAACCGATGATAGACGAAGCCCGGGGTGGACTTGCTGAGGAGGAAGAATCAGACGATGATGGCCCTGGCGATGACGATGACGACGATGGCGGACCCCCATATGGGTGATTGTCAAAATCAGGGTCCCTTTTTGGATACCCTAACTATTAGGTGCCGTACTATATTAGGGACCCAAAAAGGGGCCATAATTTTGTCAACCGCCCATATGAAACTGACCACATGCTCGGGGCCTATCAGTCAAACCCAAAGCCAGCCTGCTCAGCATCTCCAGCTCAATGAGCGTTTGCTCCATAATCTGGCGGTGCAAGCTGCAACGGTACCGATGGGCTTTGGGGCTTGGAGGGCTTGGCGTATGAGATCAGAGTTAAAAGGGGGGATTCTTTACGGTCGGCTATCCCAGCACGAAAGGTTTGGGGTCTTGGGCCAAGCATGCTGAGGTCCAGCATGCAGCATCGCCCGGTATTCTTGGTGCGATCGTTGCATCCGGCTGCAGGAGCAACCCGTCGGGTTTCCTTACGAACCGCCCCGCAACGTAGCCGAGAGGGTTTAGGGTGGGTTAGAAGGCTTAGCGTTTAAGGTTGAGATTTCGGGTTTGGGGTTGAGAGGCGTAGGGGGTGAGTCGCATTATTCACCCTAAACCCGAAAACGCAAAACTCTAACTCTACACACGAAGACATGCGATATGCCTGAGCACCATTGAAGCCTACTCCCGCCCACTGTAGCCTGTTTGAGCTCCTTGAAGTCCGGGGAGACCGAGGTGGCAACAGCCGCGGATGGCAACTCCTAGAGATATCCAGGGCTTTCGGATTTGTGGTTTTGTGGTTTTGGGATGTTTTTTGTTTAAGGTCTGGGGTGATTTGTTTTGAATGTGGATGGCCTTCTCAAGTTGGATACCTTCTTTGGGTCGACTGCAACACAAGATACAGCTCAATTGAACGGCTCGCTGTTTAGGCTCCTACGATCGTAACTGCATGCAATAGAGCAGCTCTCTAGTTCGTGGCTTTAAGTGCTCATCACACTAACAAATCGAACACGCCCGGAAGAGTGGCGATTCCAGTAGTGCGAACAAGCAATATCAAGCACAGCAAGGTGGGGATCATGTGGGCAAACAACTTTCGAGACGAGGCCCATCAACAGCAAATATGCCAGTATGCCTTCGGCTCTCCACCCCACGATAAAACAACTTGCATCCCAAACGATGAACCCTACACCCTACAAACCCAAAGCGTGGCGGCCCCCCTAAACTACCCTAAACCCTAAACCGATCCCGTTCTCAGCACGAAGCTCGGAACTTCCCCTGTGCCACCAAGCCCAGCCACAGCCCCTGCAAGCCCTTCTAGTACCCCTGTTTTAGCAAACTCGTACCCTTAAGGAACCCTTAAAGTGCATTCATGGTGTCCATATGGACCCTCATAATACACCTATAGATCCCTTTATTGAAATCTGAGACCTAAGAGACCCTGAGATAACCCTTATGGTACCCTTTTAGAACCCATCAAGAAACCTGCGCACGCTTGTAGCACCGTTGCAGCCCTCATAAAGAAAACTAAGACTAATCCTGATTCCCTTCCTAAACCCTAAACCCTAAACTCCACGCGACATTTGGCCACCGACCTCCTTTGGTGCCGGGTGAAGCGTGACTTGCGCATCCAGGCCTGAGCGCTGTCTTCGGCCCCCTTCGTTATGTTGAAGTGCCCTTGTGGAGGTTTGCGCGTTTAGGATTTAAAGCTTCTTGGGGTTTTAGACTTTATAGGGTTTTAGTGTTAGAAGGTCTTTCTGTGTGCTATGGCTGTTAAGTGTTCGGTATGAAAGGGTTGCCTCAAGCGCAGAACTCACAAAGTCACAAAGTCCCAACGCCCTGAAGCCCAAACCCCCACATCCCACCACCCAGAAGACCGGGGATCGCCGAAGCCCCAATTTGGGGTTGTTGAGCAGTCCCTCAGGTTCGGGTATTCTTTAGATGATATAATACGGCACCTAGAACTTATATAGTGAGCCCCAGAAAGTTGGAACATTGATTTTGGAAGATTCTTGCTGGGATTCCCTATACTTTACTTTAAGGGCACGAGGATACTGATGTTCCAACTTTCTGGCTTCTACAATAGATTACCCAAAAAAGGGGCCCTAATTTTGAAAACCACCCAGATGGCACTGGCAGAGCAGGATCGGCAATCAGTGTACTGGGCTTCGCGGTTTCTTGGACTGATCACACCTCTACCCCTCCACCCCCCCCTGTTTAGGGTTTAGGGTTTTAGGGTTTAGGGTCTAGAGTCTAGGGATTAGAATTTAAGGGTTTAGGGTTTAGGGTTTAAGGGTTTAGGGTGCAGCACTCCAAACCCTCTAAACCCTGTTCCCTCAGGCAACCTATGAGTCGGAACAGTCCGGGGCGGCCGCGGCGCACAATCTGGGACAAGCTTTCCACCTTGCACTGGACTGAACCCTCAAAATCCCTGAACCCTGTAGCCAGCCTTGTATGCTTTGAAGGTTAGACCAAAGAGGAGGGAAAAAGGCTGCGATAGAGAGAGAGAGAGAGAGAGAGAGAGAGCAAACCAGCTAGAGTGGGGAGGGGAAAACAGCCAAAGTTTAGGAATATCAACATGATAGGGAAACCTAGGGAAAAATGCTGGTTATCTGGCTTCTATGCTAGGGGTGTTCAGTGTTCAGCAGCTTACAGAGGTGTGTGGCTTGCTGGTTGGGAGCTGGTGTTCCGGTTTTGGAGGGGTCATTTCGTACACCTCCATGTGAAGGCTTTATTGGATGGCGAACAGCGGGGATCTGAACAGTTAGCCTCAAAAAGCCATCATATCCCCAGGTGCAGTATACTAGGTGCTACAACAATCCACCCTCAGTGTTAGTAGGTCAGGTGCTAACCCTAAACCCTAAACCCCTAAGCCAACTTATATCGGAGAGACTGATGTTCTGCCCTGATGCGGTCTTCAGCTGGTGGTCACGGCTTTTCCCGAAATACTCCAGCGAGAGCACTGCAAGAAAGGGGCCTTTAAAACTATAAGAAGGTTTTGGGGCATATTATACTATAATCAGGAGCCCCCACAATTGGTGTTTGGAAATTCTTTAGGCCCCTATATTATGTGAAGGAGCACTTGCGTTGGATGACCCATTAAAGCCGCCTGAATATGGACACGCTTCCGGCATCAGAGGTCGATTGAAAGCCCAAAGCCCTAAACCCTGCACCCTAAACCCTAAAACCCTAAACCCTGAAACACTTAACCCTAAAACCCTAGACCCTAAAACCCTAATGCGCTAAACCCCAAAACCCTAAACCCTACCGCCAGCCCAAGCCTTCTCTTCCTGGCGCTGTGCTTCAGCACGCTGTCTGCGAAGGTCGCCACGAAGCTCCTCTCCGGCAGCTTTGGTTTAGGGTGTAGGACTTCGGGTTAAGCGTTTACGGTTTAGCTTGGGGTTCAGGGCTTAGGGCTTAGGGTTTAGGGTACGGGGATGTTTCTACGGTGTGACAAGACCTAGGGCGGCCCGACACTAATCACGGTTGCTCGCGCAGTACAGCCAACCCTGACTTTGTTGCGGACCTCTGGTGAACATAAGTGGTACGCCGTTGACTCAAGCGCAAATATGCTTGGAGGCTCCTGGGCAGTTATAAGTTATAAGTGGAGTTATAAGTAGGGTTCTAGACTCGATTAGGGACCATTATAACCCTACTTATAACCACCCATGAACCTTCAAGTCCTAAATCCTCAACCTTCAACTCCAGCCCTGAGCACCTGAACCCACCTAGACCCTGAACAGCCTGATGTGCTAAACGCGGAAGGATGGCTCCCGCACCCAAGCCCCAAACCCCACTGTAGGGGCCTTGGTAACTAGCATGGGGTTTTGGGGCATATTATACTATAACCATAGTAAGGCCCCCACACAACAGTATGGGTAGTTGTTAAGGCCCCAAAGCCTATGGCTCCTGCACCAACTGCTCCAGGTTGGAGATCCTGCAGTGGCATGCGGCTCTGAGAGTACATCCTCGCATACAATAAGACAATAAGCAGAAAGGCTACGGGTTGTGGTTTACGGCGAGCCCAGAAACGCCCTTGCAAAGAGGCCTTATATGGTCCTTAATAGTGGGTAGGGGGGGGGGGGTACCATAAAGGGTAGTTCTTGGGGGCCTAGGTACGGGGTTGAAGGTTTAGGGCTTGGGGTTTGGGAGCTTTGGGGCTTGGGGTTTGAGGGGACGTCGTTCTGAAGTCTTCTTGGCTCTGGTTCATCTCTGTTTAAAGTTTAACTATGGATCGCAAGAAATCACGCAAACGAACGCAGGGCTCTGGACTTGCAGTTTCTCAGTGCGCTGCAAGTTTGGCGTGTTTCTGGTCGTCTTGGCTTTATTATTGAAGCAGAGCGTGAGAGTTTAGGTACCAGAGTAATCCGGATACTTGCTATGAGACTTATCATCGTCCTGGTCTTGGCCTGGCCTATACACGACAAGACAACAGCCGGCCTTGCATACTTACAAGAAGGACTGAAAAACCAGGACACCGGGTTTCAGTCACGTCCGAAGGGAAGCCAAAAGACTCCCCGAGCAGCGTTGCTATGCAGTCTCAGACGCCGAAGCCTTGCAAGACGGCTTCCGAAACCCTGAACCCTAAAACTGCGTCGAACCGCATCGTAACGAATCGGATGCAACCACACCGAAAGTTCCCCGACTTGCAGAAAGCCGTGAAGTACGACTCGCGTTTAATTGCTGGCCCAGAACTTGCTTCATATGGGGCATAAGTGCTCGGGGAACTTGTTTTGAGGCAATCGCTGTTACAACACACACTGTGACAGCCTACTGCGACGCAGCCTAACCTAGCGAATCCGACAAAAACACGCCTCGACTGTACGTACACCTTCTGCACCAAACATTGAGATCATAATCCCTCAACTCTAAAACTCCCAACCATGGAAACCCGGAAGCATAAGCCTTAAACCTCACACGACCACATAAGCCGGTAGTTCCTGGCCTTGTGTGGGCTTCCTGAGGAGTTGTCGCAGGTGGAGGTGTCAGTGCTCGGCGGATAGCGGAAGGGACCGGCGGCGTCTGTGCCTGGTGTTTGGGACTGCAGGGTGCAGGATATAGGGGCTGCGGGTTTAGGATTTACTCGAGAAAGCGAATCCACCACAGCAGCTCCTTTCTGCGAACTCGCCATGATGCAGTTCTGGGCGTAGGAGTTACTTCGCAATGCTTTTACGGTGCTATTTTGCCGAGTGGCAGTGATGCAACTTTGCGAAACAGAAAAGAAACGTCTCGTACATTCTGACACTCGCGACCAGAACGCCCAAGTCTCCGCCTTTTTGGTTAAGGTACGAGTGAATATATGACTATAGAGGTGTTTCTTTGCTGCTGGAGGGGCATAAGGCTGAAGGACTATAATTCAAAAACAGTGGGATTCATGTAAGGAATCCTGCTAAAGGCCCAAGGTCGCTGAATCAGATTCCTACATTAGGCACTAAGAAGTAGGGGAACTATAAATATCACCCTTATTACGGCGGCGGATTCAGCAGATAGAATATTTTTTAAGGAATTCAGCACTCCCCTCCATCTTTGCATTCATCTGTGCTACCGCAGCACTCGCCGGTACTCTCCGGCATGTTTCGTGCTATCGCAGCACTTCTTGCCCCCTGCATAAGTGCTATAACAGCACTTGCCGAGGATTGCGAGCCTGACTCCTGGTGAACAACCAACCCGACACTTTGGGACTTCTGCGTCTCAATGATAGGAAGAGCCGACATCGAAGGATCTGTGCCGTAGGTTCAAGAAAAAGATCAAAAACGCTAGCAAAAGCATACATTCATAAGATATTCTATCTGGACCGTTTGCTCCACGGGACGATTTTGGCCATATTCTGAAAAAAAATTATCTGCACCGTCGGAAAATATTCTATCTCTCTCCCTTCCTCAAGTTTGTTTCCTCAAAAATCGTCTTTTGCGCATATTCTATCTGCACCGCTTCGCGTTTTAATATTCTATCTGCTGGGGCGCCGCCGTAGGGGACTTACGGCCCTACTTAAAACTAACCATGAACCTCAAAGTAGGCCCTAAACCCTATACCCTTATAGAATCCCTATAGATCCCTTTAAAGGGACCCTGATAACTACCCATGAACCTCCAAGTAAGTTTGTTTGGTTGAAAGTGTTTGGGACTCTTCCGGCGTTCGGAGTCCTGGGGCTCCTGGCTGCAGCAAAATCGTGGGTTCATACAGGGGGCCTTAATCATTAGAATAGGGTTCCTTTAAGCGCTCCTTTTAAAGGGGTCTATAAGGATTACTATGAGGGGTATTGTGGGGGATTTAGTATAGGGGCCTTAATCATTAGAAGAGGGTTTTTTGGGGCCCATCTATACTATAGTTATAAAATGGAACCCACCCAACATACTGATATAATAGTTATGGAGGCCCCTATAGTATAGCCTTGCCAGTTCAGGGTTGAGGCACGAACAAAGCCGCGAATCTTCGCTGCCAAAAATGTAACTCAGCTAGTGTAACTCTACCTCCCGACCCGAGTCCTATAAAGACTGAACTCCACCTTCAGCCAACACACGGTTTAAAGGCTCCCTTCCGAAATCTAAAACCCAAAAGGGCTCTTTTTTAACTGCAGTGCCCTTTTTTGGCCATCTTTGCGAGGCTAAACCAGTCCCATTCCAGTCATCCAGCCAGAATAGAGGGGCCTAAATAATTATGCCCATAATTACGGGGTTCCTTATAGCACAATGGGCCCCTAAACCCCATTCTACTTATTTAAGGCCCCAAAATTATCCTCAGTTTTCCCAAAACCATGGGTCCAAAGCCTAGCCCCCCAAGCCCAAAACCCCGAAGACCCAGCCCGAGTTCGTACACCCTAAGCCCCAGACCCCTTGAAAGAAACCCCGAAACCCGAAACGAACCGTTCAAGGAACCCTCAAAGGCCCAGGCAACTTAAACTAGGATACCCAGTAACCTAAGAATAAACAGGCCTCTCTTTTCGGTATTGGGTCACTTTATAAGGAGCCTAGGACTACAAAAAGGGAATAAGGGTACTACTGGGCATCCTAGCTTAAAGGAACCCTAAAGGGCTCCTTGAGAGGAAGCCCTAAGCCCTTTCAGGGAGCCCTAAGGGCTCCTTTAGCTGGGCTCTTGTGAAGGAATTTTTGCTTAAGTTACCAGAATGGTTTAGGGTTTAGGGTTTGGAGTTTAGGGCGTTGTTAAGGAACTTGGTTTAAGTTACCAGAATAGGGCTCTACAGTGAGTAATATCATGGTTTCCTTATTCTGGTAACTTAAAACAAGCCCCTTAGCAAGAACCCAGCTATAAAGGAACCCTTAAAGGAGCCCTGAAAGGATTCCTCAAAGGATCCCTTAAAGGAGCACCCAATTGAAGGCCATTTAGGGTTCCTTCAAGGGTACCATAGGGATACTATAAGGGATCTTCAAGGGTACCATAGTGTTACTATAAGGGATCTTCAAGGGTACCATAGGGTTACTATAAGGGATCTTCAAGGGTACCATAGGGTTACTATAAGGGATCTTCAAGGGTACCATAGTGTTACTATAAGGGATCTTCAAGGGTACCATAGGGTTACTATAAGGGATCCTCTTAGGGGTTCCTTTTAAGGGCTCCCTTACTTAGAGGATCATGGGACTTAGTAAGTAGGTTATCATGGGGGTTATAAGTCCTCTAAGTGGGGTTATCCTAATTATAACCTACTTATAACCTTACTTACTAAGTCCCATGAGCCTTCAAGTAGACCCTAAACCCTAAACCCTATATAGATCCCTTTAAGGAACCCTCTAGATCCCTTTAAGGAGCTTACCTTACTAAGTCCCATGAGCCTTCAAGTAAAAAGGGAACCACTGAAGCAACCCTGGGCTGGCACCTCGGTCACCGGAGCAGAGCTTTGAACAGAAGCCCTGGAGTCTCAAGGTGCCGAAATTTTCATGAAGGCAGGGGGCTTTTAGGATTTATGAGGTTTCTATATATGTATACATAATATATATATATATATATATATATATGTATATTCGGGGCTTCGTATGAGGGAGGTACGTAGGGGTTATGGGGGTTCGTCTTGATTGTGGGGATTTGTGGTTTGTAGGTGTTCTAGGGTTTGTCGGGATCATGCTTAGGGTTGACAGTCTTGTTCCAACTCTGACTGTAAAACTCGATTGTCACCATTCTTACTATTCATATTTCCAGTCTTGTTAGAAGGTTAAAGGCTGCCGGGTGCTTGTTGAAGGTGATCGATGATTTTGGGGGATCTTTGACTTTTTGAGGTTAATCTATGTTTAGGATAGGGCTTCCGGTGTTCAGGGCCATTTACGGCTTCCGGGTGAAAATTTCAACCGTGGTTGACGTGAGCGTCCACATGGAACCCAGACATACAATCTCCGGGATCCTTCTAATTTCTTTCTCATGACCAGTCCGTAAACCCTAAGCCCTGAACCCGTTAAAGTGGTAAGTTATTCGTAATTGAGCTATGAGCTTCATCATCCCGCCCCCCAAGCCCCAAAAAGCCAATCTCATACCTGAAAACCTCATTCATTCTAAAACCTTAGTACCAGTACATGTATCATACACCATAAACGCTAAACTTCCATAAGCCCAAAACCTGAACCCCTAAACCCTGTAAGCCCTAAACGGGAACTTCAGCCCGTTTGTTTTGCAAAAGCGAGGTTCGAATTTTGATCTCAAGTTTACTGGCTTCCACAAAGTCCACACAGGGGTCGGGCCACTTGGGGGTGTCGAAATATGTCACAAGGATACGAAGGACCATGACGCAGTTTTCCGACCGCTACCTTACGCAGCTCAGGAGCCCATCCAGGCTCCTGGGACATAGTCAAGCAGAGAACACAGAAGCTGGCTGAGAGTGAAATGCCGCTTCTTCGTCAGCAGTTACAGAGATTTAGCAATTTAGCCGTGGCCTTTTCGCGCAAGCGAACTTAAGGTCGAGGCGCCGTTTCTTGGCTGAGATTTGGTCGGCGGCGGCACAGCGTAGCAACTCCAGAGCTTTTGTTTGGCCAACTTCAGCCGCTAGGGAGATGGCTGTGCTACCATACCTAGATTGGCCCTTTAAAGCCCCTGAAAACTGTGCGTAAATAGGGTCCTATTAGGCCCAATAAGGGAAATTACAAAATGTCCCAAAGGCCTACCTAGATACTTGTTCACCAAGTTGAGGTCGGCACCTGCATCCACCAGCAAACGAACAACCTCCACGTGGCCATTGCAAGAAGCTGACATCAAGGCCGTGGAGCCATCGACTGTTGCCAAGTTCTTATCGGCACCTGCATCCAGCAGTAACCGTACAACCTGAATGTGGCCTTGGCGAGAAGCTTCCATCAACGCGGTCATGCTGTCGTAGCCAGCCAACTTATCCAAGTTCTTGTCTGCACCGGAATCCAGCAGCATGCGAACAATCTCGACGTGGCCATGGCGAGAAGCTGCCGCCAACGCCGTGCCGTCGTGATGGCGAGTAGCTAAGTTCTGGTCTGCGCCGGCATCCAGCAGTACTCGAACGATCTCAACATGGCCATGGCGAGAAGCCGCCATCAACGCGGTCACGCCGTTGTTGCTCACCAGGTTCTGTTCTGCACCGGCATCCAGCAGCATGCGAACGATCTCAATATGGTCATGGCGAGAAGCTTCCATCAAGGCGGTCATGCCTTCGTTGCTTGTCAAGTTCGGTTCTGCACAGGTATCCAGCAGCATGCGAACGATCTCAACGTGGCCGTGCCGAGAAGCTGCCATCAACGCGGTCATACCGTCGCTGCTTGTCAAGTTCTGTTCTGCACCGGTATCCAGCAGCATGCGAACGATCTCGAAGCGGCCAAAGCGAGAGGCCAAAATCAAGGGCGCAAAGCCGCTGATATCTGCCAAGTTCTTGCTGGCATCGGCCTCCAGCAGTAAACGCAGAACCTCCGTGTGACCCTTCGCTGAAGCTGCCATCATCGCACTTCGGCCGTGCACATCAGTCATGTCCGGGTTTTGAGGTAGCTGCAGCATGGCCTCAACCTGGGATGACTTTAGATATTATGTTTATTAGTACTATTATTATTATTCTTATTATCATTATTATTACTATTATTATTTGAGGCAGCTGCAGCATCGCCTCAACCTGCATTCTTTGGAGCTTGAGGTTTGCTTTCCACCCAAGCTACGAGTTTGAGGATGCCAGGAATTTTTGTAAACGACAAACTCCTGAACTTCTAAAATCCAAACCCCCGAACCGTAAACCCTAAACCCTAAACCCTAAGCCCTAAACCCTAAACCCTAAACCCTAAACCTGAACCTGGAAGCCCCATTATCTGAGCCTCCGAGTCTGTATCCCTCCTCCTCTATCCCAAAGGGTCCAAGTATCATTATGGTATATACTTAGACCCCGAAGATACACGACAAGTACATACCGCAACGATACTTGGGCCCTTTGGGTATGAACCGTTCTAGGACGGGGAGCCTCGGATGTGGAGCCGTGCCATGCGGCGGTCACTAGATCGTCGGCTCGCATCTGGGATACATTAGAATATGTGAGCAGGACCAGCTCCAGGTCCATAGACTTGTCCAGCTTGACAGAGTCATCCATAGGGTTGCCACCAAGAAGCAGCCTTTGTCTGAATCGGGTCGGAAAGCCGTGCAGCCGATGCAGTTGCAGCTTCAACTCCCTCACGTCAGTCAACTCCTCCACCGGTAAATTCGCTACCACCTCCCCTGACAGCACTGACAGCACCCTGATGTGCAACATTGCAGCGGGAACTTGAACAACGTGAACTACTGAAATTGAGGCTATCGGCCGATTTCGCATGCCACTCCTGCCGACGATTTACACTAAACCCCTCAACCCTAAAACCCAAACGGTCTAGGGTTTAGGGAAAGCCTGCAAAGACCCTGATCCTTAAGGTCCTGGCATTTTGGGGGGATAACCTACAAACTCAACCATCTCAAAACTCCTCGTAGCCAACTCGAAGATCAGATCCGAACACCCTAAATACGGTTAATGATATACGTCCTGCATTACCCATAATAAAAGATACCATAATCCCGAAAGTCTAGGGTCATTAAGGTAATGCAAAACAGATTATCAACCGCAGGGTCGGACCTCAATGACTAGACCCAAGAGTAACCTAGGAGACAAAAGGGTGCCCTTTTTGGGTTGAAGGGTGTTATAAGAGAACCTAAACCCTAACAAAAAGGGAATAAGGGCCTACTCTGGGTCCTAGATGACCTCAATACCCTCAGCCTCCGGTCCGAATGAAAGGACTAAGGCCTTGGTGCCGATGCCGCGTGGCAGGTCTTGGGGTAGGCCTCCAGTGGATCTGGGGGGTATATTCCCAGATCCCCGGGAGGATCCAAAAAGCAGATCCCTTGATCGCGGTTCCTATAAGGTACCCTTAGTAGTATAGGGTCCCAAATTAGGGGATCTACTTTCTAGATCCTCCCGGGGGTCTGGGCTATAGTACTATAGGTATCCTGAGGAAGCCTAAGGAATAGAAATAGGAAGCCTAAGGAATAGTAACAATTAGAATTGTTCAGGCTTCTGTATTGGCATCCCTGAGCTGAGGGGTTGGGGTTTGGATTAGTTTGGGGGCCAGAGTTGGGCCACTGGAGCTTCACTGTGCTTTGGGGCGAAGGTTTGGTGCATCTCTGTGCTTGGGGTTTAAGGTTTGGCACAGGCTTTATACTTCTCAAGCTTTGAATTATTGGGCGAGTCAGTGGTTTCGAAGTTAGTTTTGAGGCGGTGTAAAGTTTCAGAGTGTAGCCGGGCTCATGCATGCTGAGATACAGCAGCAATTTGCATACGTCCTCTCGAAAGAGTTGTACCATGCCTGTAATTTGCTTTCTTTCTCTTAGAGAGAGAGAGAGAGAGAGAGAGAGAGAGAGAGAGAGAGAGAGAGAGAGAGAGAGAGAGAGAGAGAGAGAGAGAGAGAGAGAGAGCGAAGATGGGCAAGCTGCACCTGCGTAATAATTCTGGGGGTTCCTTAGAAGCATTATAGTATAACGGAGGCAACTTCGCCGTGACGCGAGCGGGCCTTCTGTTGCGGTCGCGGGCTAGAGCCTGCCACAGAGGTTCAGGGTTTAGGGTCTAGGATTTCGGGGTTCAGGGTTGAGGGCTTGCGAGAATCAAAATAGCCGGTCATGGAAAGCTTTGGTTGAAGTGAAGGCAAACGGCTCCAACTGCGACGCCGTAAACCCTCAAGGACTAAACCTGCCCTTCACACTAATAGCCTAAACCCTAAATACACCGCAATGCCCTTGATGCCTCTACCTGCAGCGTTATCTTGATCAACATGTTAACTTCTCAATTTCTCCTGCTTTTCGGATTGGTATGTGTGCTCTTGTCGTACTGCTACTGGGCATGTCAGTAGATTGTGGTCATTCGTGCCATTTTCGGTTAGCATTAGCATGATTCGTCGCACCCGGGCATCGGCAAACAAAAACTCCACGTTCTTGTCTGCCGAAGTCTTACTGTGTCCGGCCGCACAGATAAGTCTGCGAGAGGCTGGAGCTTGAACGAACAGACAAGGGACTGGGGCAAACTATGGTGGGAAAGTTATATACTGACTCTACATGTGGGGATGTATGTTTCAAACCTGTAATTTAACTAAGGGCTTATCGGCTTGAAATTGGCTTGCCGCCGAAAGAGATCTGTACACTGCATGGGTGAAATCTGCGAGCAGCCGCGTGCGCCCTGAACGGCAGGCTTGCACTCCAAGCCACAGGCCCTTGCCATTTAATGCAGGCCGCCCAAAGACCGTGCACCAAAACGATGTCAAATGCAACAGCGGGGCTGAAATCATGTAGCATTGTGATAAAGCAACTATGATTCTAGTACAATGTACCCCCAAAACCCTACCTTAATTAATAAGGCCCCTATATTGTAGAACCCTACTATAGATCCCTTATAGACCCTTGTTTAAGGAACCCTTTAACGGGAACCCTATTCTAAATACTTACTTAGTAGCTGAGTCCATAAGCCCCCAAAAAGTGTACACTTTTAGTTCTATAGTGGGTAATATTATCCCAAAAAGTGTAAAGTGTATCCACTCAGCTACTGAGCTTATTAAGGCCCTATTTTATGCCACATTTGGAGCTCAATCAAGCCCCTCTGGAAGGCGCTCGGCCGCCTTTCGCGCTGCGAAAACCTCCTAATGCAGGGACCTTCATAATTAGCATAGGGTTCCATTTAAAGGGGTCCTCTACAATGGGGTCCATAAGGGATCTATAGTAGTACAAGGACCTTAATAATTCGAATAGGGTTTAGGGTTATATTATGTTATAGCTATAATCAGAGACCCCCTAAACAGTGTTAAGGTAAGTCTGTAGGCCCCGATATTACACTTCGGGCACCCATCCTCTCAGCAACGCGCTGCGAATCTCCTCTCTGACTCGGAGGGAACAGGGGTTTGGGGTTCAGGGAGCGCTTGACGTAAGATCTGCAGAATTCACGAGATTCATGTAGGACCCCTCATCAACAAAATGCACGTCGTTAAAAGCCCCAACATGCTTGATATGGTATGATGAAATCCTGATCCTGATTCAGGTGGAGGGGTTTCCCAACTCACTGAACTCCTTCTGACGCAAGCAGTGACAGACAATGCCAAAGTCACCGCGTTAGATAGTCTGAGACTCATGTGCTTCTTTCACCAAGCAGCCGAAGCATGCACGGAAACCTTCTGCGAAGAAAAACAACCATGAAACGTATGTTCCACGCTTAGAGCATTAACATGAACCGATGTTCTGCAAGACCCCCCTAAACCCCAAACCCTCAACCCTAAACCCTGAACCCTAAACCCTGAACCCTAAATCCTAAACCCTGAACCCTAAACCCTAAACCCCTATCTTGAGCTGGCAGCCTCAGAGCCATGGGGTCCCAAGCACGAGCCCCGAGCCAAACTCTGAAACCTAAGTGGGTGGTTGTGAAAATTAGGGTCCCTTCTTGGGTACCCTAAATATAAGGTGCCGTACTATAATAAGGGCACAAAAAGAGACCCTAATTTTGACAACCACCCAAGTGACTCTCGACCTTCCCTCGGATTTTTCTCATAATCTCACGCCGCAGAAGCCGTAAAGCTGAAAAACGCAGAAAGACCCAAACCGTCGAATCCCTGGCGCAGCTGAAACCAGTTCAGCTATCGTTGAGGATCCTCCCCCTCGATCGCCCGAAGGGTCGCGAGAACTGCCTGCCAGAGTCTCAGAGCATTTCGATTTTCAACACATCGTCGTCATGACCCTAAACCCTAAACTCTAAACCCTAAACCCCTAAACCCCTAAACTCTAAACCCTAAACCCCTAAACCCTAAACCCCTAAACCCCTAAACCCCTAAACCCCTAAACCCCTAAACCCTAAACCCCTAAACCCCTAAACCCCTAAACCCTAAACCCTAAACCCCTAAACCCTAAACCCCTAAACCCCTAAACCCTAAACCCTAAACCCTAAACCTCTAAACCCCTAAACCCTAAACCCCTAGACCCCTAAACCCCTAAACCCTAAACCGCTGAACCCTCAAGCTCCCATGCTCCGATTTGTCCAACCCCGAACAACGGCTCCAGAGCCGGGTTTTGTTCTGAACCTGAATTTAGGGGCCTCAATAATTAGAACAGGGTTTCGGGATATAGTATATACTATAATTAGGACCCCCCCAACATAGTATTGGTAATTGTTCAAGCCCCGTGTAGGCCTAAATTAGTGAGCTTCATACTGTAAGCCCTGTAGAACCTGTACAACAAGTCTTCTCATAAAGCTTGAGATCTTCAGTTATTAATCCTCCACCCTGCCTCGCCTCAAATTGCCGGTGCAAGTCTGGGTTCTAGACAGCGGTATGTCTGGGGTTTCTTACCTACTGGGATTCTCTTGGTTACTGACTGAAACCCGCTCATGGGAGACCTAATAATGGTCATAAAATGTGAGCTGAGTATAGAATCCCCTCCGCCCATCCTAGCTAATCCCTTCCACCATGAATTAAAGACCCCCCTGAAAATTGGGGCCAATCCTCCAGAATTCATCCCTACTTTGTAAAACCTAACTTGCATTAGGAATCATTAGCGAGGGGGGGCCGCAGCAAGGAGCAAGAGCAGACGTAAGAGCAGGAGCAACAGCAAGAGCAAGAGAAGGTGCAGGAGCGAGAGCAACAGATGTAACAAGAGCAGGAGCAAAAGCCCGCGCAGGAGCAAGAGCAAGAGCCCTCAACAGTGACAATAGATATAACAAATACACCCTACTAATAAGAACAATGTCAGAGTTTTTAAGTTTTATAGAGGGGGCCGTTGAATAGTACAGGAGGACGGGCTCGTACCAAGCTAAATTGTCATTACCGGATCTCCATAGTACGTAACATCAGTGGTGTAGAGTCACCAAGATTCGGCAGCAGCTCAATAGGCACTCACCCAAATCCGTGGAATATACACCCTTGTGTAACTTTTCTGAAACGTTTAACCCTGGCTTGCACAAGTCTCATTAAACATGTTGCCGTAGCATCCGTACAAGGCCTTGCAAAACCCTGATGTACTTACCCCCCAAGCCCTATTCCAGTTCCTAGGGTACATTTGGTTGAGCTCCTTGTCTGTTTTAAGGTTCAGGGTGTAGCTATACTGAACTTAGAACCGTAGCAACAATTATAATTTCAGCTGTTTCTTCCTCACGACGGAAGCCCACGGGTCTCCTGCAGTAAACCCCATAAAGTTGGAAACCGGATGAAATCCAAATGTTTAGGGTATAGGGTTCAGGGTTTGGGGTATTTATATCTATATGGGTTTACTTGAGTACCTTAAACTTAAACCCTAGGAAACCCTAAACCCCTAAACCCTATCACTGTTGAGGATGCAGGCTATTGGGTTTTCCATTGGGCTTCTCCTAAACCCACCTGGAGGTCTTCCGGCAGCGCCGCCCGAGCCGCTCTTGCTTGGCCGTCGCAATCCTTGAGAAGGAACGCGGAGGGGGGTGGGAGGGTTTAGGGTGTATCACGGGGTTCATACGGGTGTAAGGTTTAGGCGTTTGAAGGTTTTGGGGCGTAGGGCTGATCGGGTTCCCCCACCTCCGCAGCAGAGCTTTGTCGATGCTACCCCCTGAGCTGAAGCCCTAAGCCGAAGCTCTTAAACACCAAAACCCTGTACACTGAACTTCCAGAGTGCCTGAGTCTAGTCCTTGAGCCTCACAAGCCCGACCCTAAACCCCCTAAACCCCTGAACCCTGACCACTGGAGTGGCTATCAAAATTATTATGGTCCCTTTGTGGGTACCCTAAATATTAGGTGCCTTATTATAATAAGGAGCCAAGTAGGGACCATAATTTTGACAACTACCCACTAAGCCGGGCTTTCACCCTAGAGCCAATCGGACCCTCCTGGAAGGTCAGCTCGAAGCGATGAAGGAAGTTCCGAGGGCACCTCTGCAGAAGTGGACGGGCGTACGTGGGTCCCTGGCTTAAGTCTCAGTTACGACAGCTACGACTCTGGGTTAGGGCTTTGGGTGTCCTTGAGGGTTTTGGGTTTAGTTTAAGGTTTCTGGATGCATGACCCATAACTGGAGGGTCTCTGGTTAGGGTTAGGGAACATCCTGCTGAGGGGGAATGTTGTGCCGTTGATACATCGGTAGTGACCATCGACAAACCCTAGACTCAAGAACGCCAAAACCCTAAACCCCTCAACCCTAAACCCCTAAACCCTAAACCTAAACTCTCTAGAATCCTGATGGCATCCACGGGAGCACGCAAAGAGAGTATGGGACCCCTTAGAAGGAGTCCCCGGAGGAATTGAAGGAACCCTTGAAGGATCCCTTAAAGGTCGAAAGGACCCAATAATAAGGTGCTTGGGTTTAGGATAGGAGTTATGTAGGTTACGATTTTTGGAGAGTATATGATAATGAAATACTCGGACCCTTAGGGATCCCTTAAAGGAGCCCTTAGAGGGATTCTCAAGTTGCGGGCGAAGGGCCAGGACACATCTTCTGCGAACACGGCCGGGTCCGTGTACTTTTCATCGCAGACGGTGGGATGGCCTGTGGCAAAGATGAGGTTGCCAGGGTTTAGGGTTTAGGGCTTTTTTGTGGTTATTTTTTGGAGGGGGTCCCATTGTCAGGCATTGTCAGGGTTCCTTGAGGGTCTGTGGGATGGCCTTGTGACAAAGATGGGGGTTGGCTGCTGTGTGTTGTTGTATTCCTGCAGGGGTTGCTAGCAGGGTTCCCATTATGAGGTTCCGATCAAGGTATCTGAAAGGATCAAGGGCTTGGGGTTTGGGGCAAAGGCTTTGGAGTCCAGGATGCTTCTTTCAGGGCTTACAGGGCTATGGAAAAGGCTGCTTCTGCCGCCTTTGTGGGTCTTCACCAGTTCGTGGGTCATGTGAGGGCTTGTCTGGGCCTTGCCCACGACTTGTGTGGTTTTGCCCGCGCCGTTTCCAGGCATTGCCTTCCCTCTCCCACGCCTTCCTTCAAATTTGCACAAAGCAGTGGAGTCTCTTCTCGTGCACTGCTTGTTTTGAATTTTGGTGAAGCCGACCCGCCGACCCCTGACCAAAAACACCTAACAGTGTTTGTCGTGCAAGAGCGATATGCTTTCCGTCTTGGGGCCGATGCGCGCTTCCACGACGGCTAGAGCACGAAACCATCAGCAGGGTTCTCTTGATGTTGCGCGAACCAGCAGGCGGTGTACACAGAATCGTGGAATCATAAGAGAAGAGGATGATAAACGCCTGCTTACGTGGGAGAAACTTTCTATGCCCTGGATGATAGGGAACATCGGGCAGGTGGGCATTTTGCTTCCTATATCAAACCCACCAAACTAGCCTGGACCGCATCTGCAGAACTTAAAAGCCTAAACCCTGAACCCAGAACCCCAATCTACAAAACCCTGAACCCTGAACCCTAAAATCCCAAACCCTCAACCCAAACCCTAAACCCATAGAGGGCTCTCTGGCTCCAGAATCTCGGGGAGCCCTCATGACCCTAACCCTAAACTCTAAACCCCTAAACCCTAAACCCCTGAACCTCTTTATCATATGAAAATTTAACCTTTAATGTCCCAGCCTGCATGCTGAAGGTGCACTCGGATCTGGTGCGTCCGCCCAGTGCGGATCCTGATCTGCTCATTCACGATAGGAATACGAATCTTATCATTACCTAGACCCCCAAAAGTAGGTAAAATAATGGCCCAAAACCTGTAAAAGGCTATTATTCTACATACTTTTGGGGTCCAGGTATTCGGAACACAAAGCAATACACTCAACGTTAACAGTAGCAATAGAAGAATACGAATGTTATGAATAGCACAAATTAGGTCATAGTAATGATGATAAGTGTTTTAATCAGTGGAGATGATATGAGGTCATGCCTTCTCGAGTCCGATGTAGGCTTTGAGCTTGGTAAGGGAGCTTAGACTTCGAGTGCATCGCCACTTGAAGCTTAGATGAGCTGTTGAATCTAGGGCTTACGGCTTTGCGGCTTCGAGCTTGAGGTGTAACTTTAGAGTTTTCATGTTCTGTGCCAAGCGGCCCGGCACAACACCCTCGAATATGGATGCCCTTGACAACAAGCTTCTGCTAAGGCGGTCTGTCTCAACAGACCGAGCAGGGCTTTACGATGTGTGCAATCAACGAATCCAAAAACCAAACCATCTCAAAGTAACTACCAAACTACAGAGCGTGATGGGGTAGGCTTCATTTGGCCTCCTCTACTGCCCCCAAAAATCCCGAGGTGGAAAACGAACAGAAACCCCTAAACAAAACCAATCAAACACACGGATCCCTTAACTGTCAACGCCCACAGACCAGTGTCCCCTAACAAACGACCACACACTCACGGATATCAACTATCATAAACACTAACCGCTAAGCTTGAGCCCGAACCTGCTAACATCGTAGTCCTACGACCCCCCAAAACCCTAGAACCCAAGAGCCTGAACTGTACTTGGAGGTTCATGGGTAGATACTAACTGGGATATGTCCCCTAATAGGAGTTATAGCTATAGTTATTGTACTTTTAACTCCGTGAACCTCTAAGTAGATCCCAGAAAGAGCCGGGGCACAGCACCAAAAGCAGGGAGAAGGGCTGATCGCCTCTCGCCAGCAGGCACAAGGCCTCCACCTGCAGTAGGGTCTGTAGGGGTCCTCTCTATCCAGGGTTCCTACTTGGAGGGTCGGGGGACTTAGTAACTGGTTATTTTAGGGACTTATAAGTACCATAACCCCAATTAGGGTCCCTTTTAGGGTACTTATAAGTCTACTTACTACCTACTTACTAAGTCCCCCGACCCTCCAAGTATAAGGGGTACTATAGGGTTACAACACGGGTACTATACGGGGTTTGGAGTCTGGGCTTCATCAGCGTCTTTGGGTTCTGGGGTTTAGGGTTCAGGGCGTTGTTCGGTTTTTAGGGGGTTTGGGGGTTTAGGGTTTTAGGGATTGAGGAGTTTCGGGAGCATATTTTGGCTACTGTTGGGGGTTTAGGGTTTTACCCGTAAGCGGTTTTAGGGGTTGAGGAGTTTAGGAGGCACATTTTCGGTACTGCCCCCATACAGGAGCAGTTCATAGCACGAGAATTGAGGGTCTTTATAATATCTGTATTATACACGTTATTCAACTGTTGCTGAGTGGCGGCAGTATCCCAACTATGTGGGTTTGAGGGTTCGGGATGGGTAGGGCGTTTTTCTTACCTTTGGCTAGTAAGGAAAGGAGGGGGTACAATTATAGCTGCTATTACTACCATTCTTCCATTCCCTACTAACCAAAGGTAAGCTTTGGGGCTTCAGGATTTGGGCTGGTAGAGGGTTCGGGCTCGAGGATGGATGGCAGGCCCAGTGCGTAGTGGCCTGAGTCCAAGCAGGCTTTCCCGCTGCGCTCACGCGGCTCGTGGCAGGGAAAGTCTTGCTCGTCTTGATCCTGGCGCGGGTATTGGGGGTTTCCGAACAAGAGGACCCTAACTTAGTACCCTTATTGTAGGATCCTCATTTTATAAGAACCCCAAAACAAGGTACCCCCTAATTTTCGGAAACTCGCATTCAGATGATGAGGACTAGCTTCACCTTGAAGCATAGCTTCGAAATGCAGGGGGTCATACTGTCAAGCTTAACATTCAACATTCGTAAAGAACTCGGAGGTTCATGGGTAGTTATAAGTATAGAGTTATAAGTAGGGTAACAAAACTTTTACCCCTATTGGGGAACTTATAACCACACTTATAACTACCCATGAACCTCCAAGAAGGCAGTGGAGGGCTGGCACCTAGGGTTGATTCACCCTAAGCCCTAAACCCTAAAACCCTATACCCTGAAACCCTCAACCCTAAAACACTCAACCCTAAACCCTAAAACCCTAAACCTTAAACCCTAAAACCCTGAACCCTTAAACCCTATAACCCTATACCCTGAAACCCTAAAACCCCAAACCTTAAAGCCCTATGACCATAAAGTCCCTAAAACCCTAAGTCATGAAGCCTTGTCTGACTAGGTTCCCCAGTAGCCCCATTATAATAAGGGTACCCTTTTTCTTAATATTCTGTTTTAATAGGGGAACCCAAAGAGAAAAAGGGTAAAAGGGTACTACTGGGGAACCTGGCTGAGCACGCAAGAACGGACCCTTGAAGCTTCGGGGCGTGGGATCTGGAAGCTTCAAGCTTCGATGCTTTCCAGAAAACCCTGACACCCTCATCAAGAACAACCAGCAGAAGTTCTAAACTTCCGACCATAAACTCTAAAAAATGTGCTCGATAGTTTAGACATTGTGTCAGAGCTTAGGGTGAGAAACTCCAACATTTTCAAGTGTCTGGATACTTATGGTACCCTAGAAACAACTCTTTCACAGGAGTTCCGTCTTAGATTGGTGGCCTGCAAAAGGTGTCTTTAAGTATTGGAGCTACGGCGTTTCACTCTGAGCTCCCTTACCCCCGACACCCTTGAAGCCCTGAACCCTATATCTTCCTCTCCGAAACTACAAAAAGGGTTTAGGGTTTAGGGACCAAGGCAAAACCACGACCCGCATTGGGAGCCCAAGGGAAGGAACCTCTGAGCCAAAATGCGCGAAGGTGCTGAGGGCGCAGTCTACGGTTCAGGGTCTCGATACACAGCCCAGGGCAGCATATGGGAGTTTCCGACAAAGGGGGATCCTATTATGGTACCCTAAATCGTAGGATCCTTATTATAAGGACCCCAAAATAAGGTACCCCCTAATTTTCGGAAACTCCCTGGTGGACCCTTTGGGGATCCGTTCTGGGTCCCGGGTTTGCCCATGAATTTTACGAAGTCCCTGCAGGCCGGGGGGGGGCGGACTCCTGAGTCTCGAAGTATCCTTACTTACATAAAGGGTACTCCAGAAAGCAATAGAATGTGACTCTGGTGGGTACTTAAACCCAATAAGGAATAGACGTGCTAGTTTTTTAATACTAATACTATCCCAACCATGAACTACAGGGAACTCCAGAAAGGTTTCAGGGTAGGATACCCTATAATTTACCATAGAAGGGTTAGGATAATCATATTCCAACTTTCTGGCTTTTACCTTAGGGCTTACCTAGAGGTTCCATAGTAGTTCCTTTTTGTGGCTTGTATTTAGGATCCTATAAAGTAATCCCCAAAAAGGAAACTAACTACCATGGAGCCTATGGGTATGGTCTCAGGCCTAGTGCGGTTCCAGTGCTCAGTTCGGGATTTCGAGCTGTGGCCCCTAGGCGTAGAGCGGAATGAATTGGGCATTTCCGAAAATTAGGGGGTACATTGTTTTCGGGTCCTTGTAATAACGACCCTACGATTTAGAGGACTATATTGGGATCCCCTATTTTCGGAAACTCGCAATTAGTCATGGCACCTTGCGTTGATGATGTGCTTTCCCGCAGTAAAGTGACCATGGCACAGCACCTGAGGAATCTGCTCTGCTTGGAGGTTCATGGGTCACTCTTGAAACTCTAAACCCTAAACCCTAAACCGTTGAAACTCTTGAAGAAACCCGGACGTAGTTGGTTTGCACAGGTAAAAGTCTCCTCCAGGTGGGGTTCACTGCTCGGACACTGGATTTGCGAGGTGTTCTTGACTATTCGGATTCGGACAATTCTTGATACATTTATTCATTACTGCTCACCCTAGGGATCTAAGGACACATATCTTAAGGCTTTTAGGCCAGGGTCGTGCTTCATTATCATACATGATTGCCTTTCATCTGATGGCTCTGAACTCGCCAATTGACTCAGCCTTAGCCAGGAAGCTTCCTGCTGCCCTGCATCCTGAATAATTGCCAATACTATTTTGGGGTTCCTTATCATACTTATAGTATAATGGGCCCCAATTTGGGGGTTCCTGATTATACTTATAGTATAACGGGCCCCAAAAGCCTACTCTAATTATAAGGCCTGATATTAAACTGACTGCGAATGCATGCAAGGGGCCAAGTAGTGCCGTCCCAGTTCGTAGGTGTCCTGCTGCCACCGCAGGGCGAAGTAGCCCACGAAGGTCTTTCCTCTGGCATGCGAAGGTATGGGGGCTTTGCGGAAAGCGTCTGATCAGAGCCCTGAATCGAGCTGTATCTAGCAAGGATATCGGTTGCCATCATCCTCCACCTCCTCCTCCTCCCCACCATCATCGTGGGCATCATCACATTGGTTGCTTTCATTTCTTCTTCCGGCTCGTTGTACCTGCTGTCGAGATGGTCATCCCATAGCTATGGCCCCATCAGCATCACAAGCAGAGGAACAGGGTTCCGGTCAGCCGCAAAGCAGCAACATCAAAAGGAACGACGCAAAATCAAAACACGAAGCTCAAGATGATAGATTGCCAACAAGCTGAACCCACTGGTCATTTCTGGTGACAGCAACGGCATTACCATGGAGTTCTGAGTGCAGCAGCGCCAGTGTTGACAGAGTGCAAACGGACTTGCTGTGCAAAGCTACTAGCCGTGGAACTGTTTCTGAACATGTCGAATGTGTCATCAGGGCAATCTTATTAGCTTCCACGGGGCCCTACGAAGGGTTCTGCTAAGCGAAACAAAGAACACAACCCTAAAGGCAAGGCCCAACGCCTTCGAAGCGGTCCAATCTGTTGAAGGCTGAAGCGGAAACCGCATCAAATATTGCAACTACTTAGGGTTTAGGGTTTCGGGTTCAGGAATTAGGGTCTAGGGTGGTTCAGTGCCAAGGTGTTGCTTGGGCATTGCGGTGCCTGCTCAGGCTGTAGCTTGAGGTCATTCGGGCTTGAAAGCATCCGAGAGGCCCACAAGGATCAAGCCACTACTGGGCACATCCAAGCGGTGAATGATGCCATACTGGTGCACCTGCTCAAGGGACTTCAGGGGTTCAGGGTGTATAGGGTGTAGGGTATAGGATGGTCTAGGGTTTAGGGTTTTCTGTTTAGGTTTTCTTTTAAAGTGCAGTAGCCCCTTTTCCAGCAGAGTTTGAGCTGTTTAGGGTTTAGGGTTCAGGGCTGAAGCTCGGGACTCGAGGCTCACGGCCTGCGCCGGTTTCTGGTCAACAGTTTGTGTCATGGGGGTCAGATGGGTGTTTCCGATAATTAGGGGTACCTTGTTATTAATAAGGATCCTACTATTTGGGGTACTATATTAGGGTCACCTATTTTTGGAAAGTCCCAGATGGTCCACTGCAGAAGCCCGTTGTTTGTAGTCCAGCCCCGGGACCCCTAACATCCGACATCGTCCGCCATCTTTAAGTGCATCCTTGATGTGTGCAAACGGCTGATGCGGAGACTTGCCGCGGTTAGCCGGGATCTCCAAGTTATGAAAGTCTACATTCTGGATACGGTTTAGGTTTAGGGTTTAGGGTTCAGGGCTTGCAGAGGGCACATGAGCAACATCACCGTGCCATGCTGCATAGTCCGGACAGGCAAGCAAATCGACACAGGCAAACACCGACAGACAAGCAGGCAAAGGTACAACGCTGAAGTAAAGCTATTCCTGCTTGTGCATACATGCATGCACGCGGACGGACATACATGCTAACGTCAACACATAGTGCAGAAGTGACCAGATCTACGCATGTACCGGGCTTTGAACGTAAGGCACGAGAGTGTCTCTATGAAGGGCCCTTAATGCCAATCCCCCGCGCCCGCCCCGACCAAGCCACCCATGCAGTAATTGCTGGGTTGCCACATTCGCAACAAGCCCATTGATGCCTGCTGTGCTTCTGTGTCCCTCCCCGAATGCCTCGCTAAAGAGGAGCGGATACTTCTCCGAAGCATAAATACCTGCAAGCATGCAGAGAGAGGTGAGAGGGTTTGGGTTTAGACTTGAGGTTTACGGCTCTGAACCTTTTCATGAAATTCTGCTACTTGAGCACGTTAGGTCGTGTAAGGCTGGAATGCGAGTGGACGTTTGGTTTCCATTACACACAACTGGTTAGACATGCAAGTCACTGTTGGTAGTGGGGTCTGCATTCGTTTGCAAAGTAAAAATCGAGAAGCATTGGAAGGGCAAGGTGCTCTGGCACATGCGTCGTTGCCCATCTTTCGTCAGTGGGATGGAGCGACCAAGGAGAGGGCAAGATGGTGGCTGCTTTCTCGGGTTCATCGTATCGCCCACATAGGAGGTTGTTCCCAGGCTTTTGATTTGCAACAAACCTTCCATGAGATGGAGCTTTTTGGCTATCCCAAGAAACGTATCCGAAGGTTGGCCAGCTCTTGTCGACGTTATTCGTTTGTGCGTCAAGCTTTGCAGATGTGATCTTGATTGCGCACATGGAGGGTGGGAGCTTTGATTATGGGTCCTTTATATTTTGCCGCGACAGCATGTTTCACCGTTTTGATGCCATAGTGAGTTCAAGCTAGCACCTCGCGGATAGACCTCGAACCATCAATCATGTTCGGATGGCTCTGGGGACGTCGGAGTGCTCCTCCTCAGCGTGAGCCTCTCTGGAAGCGCGTTGAACGTTGTGAAGAAAGCCTCGCTCGACTCGAACGTGTGGAGAAAGAACGGGTGGACAAGGACAAAACCCTCAAGGAGGAGGCTAAGACACAGGAGATGTTCCAGCGTGCTAAGCAGGAGGCGAAAAGTGAGGTATTGAAGGAGGTTGCGGATAAGTTTGGCCAGATCGATCCATGGGCAGCGGCCACTCTTAGCAGGCTTCCCAAGCGCCCTCGCTGTCACAATGGAGAGGATGACGACGCTTCCGTCGAGCCAGTTCTGAAAAAGGGTCGGATTATCAAAGCAGAGGACCTACATGATATTTTGAAGGAGCTGGGGTTCAGGAGGAATCTACCCAAGGGACGCTTTACGGTCCGAAGCCTTGCTGAGCAGTTGGTCGTCCGGCGCGACTTCAACAAGAAGTCATGGAACAAGATGGCTGCCAATGTGCTAGATGAGGAGATCCCGCAAGACACTACGGATCTTGCTGTTGGTGTCCTCACAGCTGTCCAAAACTGAGATGGTTTGGATGCTCTTGCGCACTTGGACCGGGCAGCAACGATCCTCAAAAGCAATGGTTGTTCAGCAGTATCAATTCTCTGTGCTGTGGTGGCCTTCTGCCTTAGATGGTTGGTCGCTTTGGGCATTGGTTTTGCATTGGGAGCACTCGTTGCATGGACACCAGATCCTGTTTGTGCGGAGTTGGCTTTGGTGCAGCGGCCGCTCTCTCGACAGTTGTGGGATCGTGCCAAGGGCATGGTGGATTCGGCCCAGACGCCTATTTCACATCTGGCACAGCTGGTCCAATCCACATGGTTCTTCTTAGGGGCTGGAAGTCCGTTCATTGCTGCGCCGATAGTCCTGGGGCAACTGGTCAAGTGCACATCTTGGGCAAGAACGCTGCTGCGGGTGGCGTATGGTGCTGCAAGGTAGTGTGTCGTTGGTCTGCATCGCATGTGCTGCAATGTGACGGCAGAGTTTGAGCGGAGGTTGTATGCCCATTATGATCTTCAGATGCTCTGCTTGAGTGCAGCCTTGTCGAGCTCCTTTCTTTCATGAGTCAATCCGTGATGCTAGCAGGCGCCGGGGTGAGAAGCATGGGGGGTCTTTCGAAGTACACCCCTGCATTGCATCCCGTGTACAGTGCGCTGTAAGTACATTTATCGCATGCTCGTAATTACTTCGAGTTGGATTGCCAATTCTGGGCTCCTGTCAAGAGTTTGTGCCGGTGTATGGCCACTTGCTTCAAGCACGTTCCCGTAGCCCAAATCCTCACCAGCCATTGACATAGTAAGTGTCGCAGTTCGTGGGCGAAACACTGAAGTCATTGGGAATTCCGGTGAGGAGACTGCCTGAAGAGGGATTTGCTCAGAAGTGAGGCTGTAGTGGAAAACAGTCCGAGGTGAGACCGGCAGTGAAGCCAAGTGCAATCCGCATTTCTTTCCTTTCAGATCTTCTTCTTCTTTCTTTCATTCATTCTTTGATTCAATCAATTCAATCTTTTCTGGGGTCGGAGGGGCGTGCTCGTGATATCAAAACATATTTCTTCCAGCAGCCGCAAGCTGTGGTGACGCATTCTGCTGATTGTCAGAGCAAGCAGAATCTCCTTTATATCCTGGTGCTCACGATCTGCGCCTTAGCGTAGTGAGCTTCGTTACTATCCACTATCCATATTCGTCGTTCTCGCGACAGTGACAACGCCTCAGCGCGTGTGTATTTCATTTCGCAGCGTATTCATGGAGCGATCCGTTTTGCAAGACCGTGTCAGAGTTGTTGCGGCATATTTTGGACTCGAAAAACACCCTCAGGAGCAGAAGCTGCCGAGTGTGCAGAACTGGACACCGAAGCAGTTGCTTTCTGTGTTGCACGTCTTGCTATTGGATACCGGGCCTGATTGCAATGACACGTTGGACAGCCTCGCAGATGCATGCATGCGCGCCGTCCCAGCGATTTGGAAACAGAGTTTAGTTGACCTTGAATGGGTATTGATGCTTTGTTTGAGTTGGCTGTTCCCGGATTCTCATCGCTGGGGTCGTTGTAATCGGCAAATCATCGCTGTTACCGCTTTCTTGGACTTTGCTGTCGCGCTTGCATCCTTGACCCATCGAGCCGGTTTACCTTTGTCAGCAAAAGAATCCCACAGGCACCTTTGTCTGGTCAGCAGGTTTTGGGAGCCGCGGTTACAGAAGGCGTTCTTGTTGGGAGGAGATCATTGGGGCGTCGCTGGCACTGAGTGGTTACGACTGGTGTTGCAACATTCCAAGCGGGTTGATTATGATGACAAGGAAGAGTTTGGTTTTGTTTATCTTGCAGGGGTGTCCTCAAAACACAGGTCATATTATGTCGGGTATTGTGGGTCAGTCCGACAGAAAGCACAGCACCATTTTGGTCTCTTCCAAAGATGGTTTGATCACAAAGTTCGTGAAGTTAGGCCTATACATGGCATTGAAAAGCGATACAAGGCATGGCGCAACAGAGCTCCTATGTATGCCAACCATATGCTGCCGGTTTTCATTGGCACGAAAATGCAGGCGTGGATGAGGGAGCAGTTTGTCATCAAGTCGTTCACATTACCGGTGCAAGGATGGCGGCAAGGCAAATCGCGTAGGAGACCCTCGCCCTCAGACAGTTGGAAGGCGCCCAAATTGAGTAGTTGGCAGAGAACACCGCTCACAAAATTGCAGAGCTGTTTGCTGAACGTCTCAAATCTAATGGTATTCAGCTGGAAAGAAAAGGTGGTGGATGCTGCGTTGGCTGAAGATGATTCATCTCTCATTTGGACCAAATTGCCTTGGTCTTCCATGGTCAAGCTCGGGATTCCACAGAACCCTGAAATTGGCATGGGCACGTTGCACTTGTGGACATGTAAATTGGCCACTCGTGGTACGGAAATACCTTGGCGGGCATTCACCCCCACGGAGCTGGTTACAATGAGGACGTATGCAGATCGACTTCAAAACGAAACCCGGCGTAGTTTCGCTTGCAGGCGGTTGGCAACTGTGTTGAGCAACACTGGCTTGTATCCTTTGCGACCTGTTTGGTTAAGCATTCCAGACGCCACTCCGTCGGAAGCGAGTCGTATGCAGAAAGTTATTCGTGGGTGGTTGCATCGTGTCAGTATTGCGTCAAGTTTCCATGCTGCAATAGCAAAGTTTTGGAGCAGGAATTTGCGCATTGTAAGGGGCAAACCGCAGACCTTGGTTCAACGGTTTTGCAATCACCGCCAAGTTGCACGAAGTTTTGATGGGCGTGGGGGTTCACAGGCCGGTGCCCAACAGCTGTTGTTTGTGGATGAAAATCTGAAGACACACGCCCCTCAGTCGTCTGCCCATTTGTTACGGCAATGGGCGTCAAAGCTCTCATCCTGGGTTTTGACTTCCAACATAGAAGCTGAAGTGGCCGTGGAAGCTTGTGAAACTGATGCTCATGGTATACATCCTGACACCCACCAGCCAGACACCGCGCAGAGCAACAAAGGTTGGATTTGGGGCTGCATCTCTTGGCTTTTGTTTTTGCTAGGACTGATTGGTGATGGCGAGCCGCCAATGGTGACCCGCGTGTATCGATGGCTACGTGCACAAGCGAGGCCACGACGGCGACAAGTGGGTAAAGCCACGCGTTCAGTCATAAGGAAATTGCGGAGTGTGGAGGTTATTGTCCAGCAGGATAAATGCCCCGCGGCTGTTGTTGGCATGCCAAGGTATGTGTACGACAACTTGCTTTATGAAACATTCCTCTGTGACCCCATGCATTACAAGGCTTGCAGCATCCCGGTGGAGCAAATCCTTGAGCGACAGTACTTTCAGCATTTGGTTGCATGTCCAAGCTGGGCGCGAAGGCGGCGATCTGTGTGGAGACCTGAAGTTTTGCCATACGCGTACATTAACATCAAAAGGAAGTGCTTCAATCAAACTGGTTGCTGTTGTTCAAAACGCCATGCGCACGTGAGAGAAATTATTTCGAATTGCCAGAACCCTTTGCGACGCTCTCTACGTGTGCTGAGCCGTGCAGTGCAATGCATACTCAAATGCAGTGGCAGGGATACCTGGGTTGTATGGACGCTAAAAGACGCCCCCGCGCAGGTGAGACATCGCATAGGATTTTTGAGACCTGGTTGTGGAAAATGTCGCAGGTGTGGTAACCTTATCCCTTCCATCGCCACCATCACACTTGATGTCAATCAGCTCTACAAGGATGTCGCGTCTCAAGAAGTTTTGCAACATTTTGACGGATTCAGCAGAGCATGCCAATCCAGACATGTTTCAAAAGGCGTCACCGTGCTCAAAAACCCTCGCTACCAGGCTTTTGTGGGTGGCTCTAGCTGGAGCTCTCGTGGAACGTTCTTGGATTTTGCTCATGTTCGTCGTTTCTTACAATATTACTTGCGATGCAATATCTTCCGCGTGGGATCTGCGTGCATTCAACAAGTACGTGGGGTGCCAATGGGTGGTGGCGCGTCTGCTATTTGCGCTGCGGTGGTACTTGGAGGATGTGAAGCGTCATGGCGTGAAAATGAAAGTTTACGTGACTCGCATGGTTTCGGGGGATCGCGTGAGGATTTCGATGCTTCTACAACGGGGTGCAGGTACGTTGATGATGCTCTCCTCGCCAGCTCCAGATACTGCCAGGGATGCCTTGAAGACATGGCTCACTGCATTTATTCGCATCCACTAGTGGTGGAGCGTGTGCCCGCTACACAAACAAACGAGGATGCGAGTGGACGT